GTATGGGGAAAATCCGAGATTCTTACGGACTAGGTTTTTCTCCCTGACCTCTGACTGGATTGTAGTTTCCTGGCTATTTTGTTGAAATGGGTAAAGAATCTGAGTATCCTTCCAAGTAACCTGTGATCCATATGGTGGTTAATCGTACAGACCCCAAAAGAGAGTAAGAAGGTAAAAAAATGTTATGGTGGCAAGGCTATACTCACCTTCTACAGAAATCAAGGCAAAGCTAATTTGGCCCAATTGTATGGAGCTCTCCTAGTTTCAGAGTTCTTGGAACACTTCCAAACTACAGAGCAGATCCACAGGGAAAATATTGTTTATAACCCTTCACTCTCCATCCCAAAACAGAGATATCAGTGAAGCGAGTTCGATTGTTCCCTCCCGCAGCTTCACATTCAGCTAAATAGCTTTGAGGCACTATTTCACATGGGTAATACCTGGAAAACATCCAGGAGCAGTGGGACTGAAATGATGCCAGCTTTCAAAAGGACGTCCAGGGAAATGACATTGGGGTGTTCAAGTCAGACCCATGGGACCAGGACTCTGGGAACAGAGTTTAGCTCTAATTTCTCTTCACTCAACATATACTCAGTCAAACACCACTACTGCTCTAGATGGGGCAAGGTAGTTTCTAAATTATAAAAATTAAAAGAACCCTAGAATAAGTCTCTAATTATTTAAAGGGATACTGCCCACTTTTTATGCACAATATTTCACATTTTTGAAAAAAACATTGCGTTGGTCTGACTTTGTTTAACCAGCAATTTAAATAGGGGCAAAATTAAGCTGTTACTGAAGTCTCCAGTATCTTACACTTTTCTTTTTTTTTTTCCCCCACTTTGGCTCATCAGTTTGTGATGTATGAGGGTGATTTGTTATGATTTATTATCAGGAAGAAAAAGGGGAGAAATAAGTGAGAAATGCTCACATTCATAGCAATTGTTAAATCTCAGTAGTCCTCTTTTTTTGGTGCGTCTTATTCCTGCGTCTGTTTTTAAACTTGCTTTTAATTATAGATTTATTTTTTTTTTCTGAATTACAGCAACTAGTAGTTATTTAAGGACCTACCATTGTTCCTTTTTACAAAGAACGCATTTTAAAGGACACATTTGTAACCATAGCCATTTAAATTCTGCTTTGCTGGAAGTGCTTGTACAAGCTGATAGCCTAAATGTAAATTATTTATTTCAAATTGCATTGGCTATGCTCTTTTTTTAAAAAAATAGGACAGTGAACACAAAATTAGGGGTTTTCTATTTTCTTTAGATGTCATGCCACACTAAATCAGAAGAGATTTTAATCTAAAAGATCACCTTTTTGTTACTGGCGATTGGCCCACCACTGTTGGAAATGCAGTAACTTTGCCTTTTTAGAAAGACAAGATAAGCTGAAGTTATGTGTAATGTTGGGTATATGCCAGTGTGTGCTACACATGAGATAGCCTCTATTTGTATCTGCAATGGAGAAACACTTTAAATTGTCTTATTTTATAGACATTCCTGATATATTTTTTTTATGCAATGTGTAAAGTTCTGTGATCGCTTTTATTCCTTTAGCTGGTGAAGATCCAGTTTTTAATAGCATCCACTATCTGGTGGTTATGAAGGCGAATTAATGTCTGGACAACTGATGTTTAAACATAACTTATGCTATGAAACTGTAATGCTTTATAAACACTATTGCTAATCTTCTGCTCCTTCTTTGTTAAACTTGCAATGGAGCTGTGTAGAAGTCCATTTGAATTTGACATTTCTGCTGTCCTGAGCTCTTAAAAGACACAGCAGTATTTTTCTTTCTCTAGTTAATGGTAAACTAATATTCCTTGATCATATTGGCAGTAGACTAAATACCAGCTTGGAAGTACAATCTCTAAGGTGGTCATAGTAAATTAAATTGCAACAGAGTTTTGAATGGCAAGGTAGCATTTAAGTCCTTTTATAAATATATATGCGAGCATGTGGATATTTTTTAGCACACATGGGACAAAATATAATTTTGATATTTCAGGCTCAAGAAGGAATGCAACCAGGATTTCAAATATGTTTGAACTAGAGCTTTTAGTCAATTCATAAGATACAGGTAAAAGATTTGGATCACTAGGAAAAGGATTTAATAGAACTTGGGGGGGGGGGGAGGGGGTTTAAGAAAACATGTAGACTTCAGTCTTATGCTTTTTACCAATCAACTCTTCCACTGGAGCCAACAGAAGTTCTGCTTGGCTAATATGTGAATATCATATGTGACAGTTTGACATATCGTATAGGCTTAACTTCGTACGTGTATATGTTGTAGAGATTATATTTCTATTCAAAGAATAATCCAGTTAGACTGACTCAGAGGGGAGCTCTGCAACTCACGCACTCATTTTCTAGAAATGCTGCCTCTGAGATAACAGCCCTTTCTCCAGCAGCTAATTGTCTGTGTATTAAATAGTCTCTGAGTGTACAGGAATAAGGTTCATTTGTGAGCATAATTAAGTGCATATTGCCCCAACCCAGCACACATGATTCTCATAAGCGTATCATGGAAGAAAGAGCCACACGGGCAACTTCAGTCCTGAGGCTATTGTAACAAACGTGGTGCAGTGTCAAGAGAGTGGGTTTTAATCCTTTATTCAGTTTGTTTGCCAGTATTAGCTCTCGGCCCTGTGGAGCTAAATGTTCTGTGCTCTTTTCTTCCCCTTCATGTTTCAATAGCAATTTTAACAAAAAGCATGTTTCCCACTTCATAGCATTATGGGGAGCGTGCTGGTTATTCTCGGGCTGAAAGTGTGCCTGGAAATTTAGATGTTTTCAAGCAATTTTTGTAATGCAGTCTGACCCTGCTATATTTTTAAAAGTAATGTTTGAGAGACTGGAGGGACACACTACGTATTTTATTCGAACAGGTGGCATCAGGACCACGTAGACTTAAATTTTCACTGAATTAAAAGAAAGCTATTGCAAAATCTAACATCAATTTTATTCATCTATCGATATCTATCTATAAGGGTGTCTATTGACATATAAATAACTACAGGTATTTATTGATCAATAGATCAATATATCACTGAAAAAAGTTTTTCTCAAGTAGTAGCATTCTCACTGGTACATGCAACCTAGATATTGCAGTACATCATGTGGGAGAACCATATCCAGAAAGAGATTCAGCGTCTCCCTAAAAAGATAACTTGACAAGCCTTTTATCCTTATTGAAAGTGATGATGAAGAATATAAACAAGCCGCTTAAAAGATGAATAGCTAATGAAATTGTTTTGAAATGTTTTGAATATTAGAAACTAGTGAGATACTGATTTTTTTATTTTTTTTTTTTTGTCCAATTACCAAAGATATTTGGTACTTTTCTGAAAAAGGATACTTACGGTTATTGACCCAAAGCCCAGAAGCTGGCCCAAAAGTTGAGAAATATTCAGAGCCTATAAAGAGGGAACACTTTATCCTAAGCCAAAACACTTTGAAACCTCTCTGTGGGAACACTTGCCCTTCCCATATTTATCTGTATGAAGGAATTCAGAAGTGTTCCCATCAGATGGAGCCTCAGCGGTATCTGTACACCCTGGGAGTCCACCATGGCATGTTCTAGATCTCTCTATCTTAACGAGCATAATACACTGGCTTTAGGAGAAGGTGGTTCTCTGCGTTCATGACCTCCGGTACTGTCCTTTGGCTACAAAGTCAGGTTCCACATGGGCCTGAATGTGGAACTCTATTCCTCGGACTGTAAATATTTCCATTGAATATTGAGATCGATAAGTGTTTGTGGAGAAAAACATTACTCACTGTGAGTAAGAGCCATATGATATGAGACAACAGGTCTGGCGCTAAAATATGTTTTCGTATTTTTAGGGGAATATATTCTCACATGTGGGTTTCTTGTTTTTGGCTGCACCTGTCGTGTGTGCAGAATATTGCTGCAAAATAAGTAATTGCACAGTTTAGTACTAGATATGCATATGTAAATACATATTACTCTTTACCATCCCATTACCTAATTTACATGTGTAAATGCAGGTTAACTGCATGTGTAGCTTTGCCAGTGGCAAATTATTTCAAAATTTAGCCTTGGGTGTGCTCTAGGGAGTTACGCTACAAGCCCATGTTGTTTCTTCATTCAATCTCTCAAGTCTGTTAGAAACTCAATATACACACTTGACTCTGCTTTATTTCACGGGGTAATCCTTCAAAATTACAGACCTAATCATTATTAATTCTCTTTATATTTATTGATTGCATTAACATTAATCACGATAAACGCCTTTGGTATTAATGTGGATGTCATTGGTATGGTACTTGAGACTGTCTGCTGTAACTCAGCCCTCATTAACAGGACCATTAGTTTACAAGGTGTTATTTTTTGCATAAACAACTCCATGCCTTTCTTAGGGAAGTGAGAAGAGTAAATGTATATGAGCTGTTCACTGAATTTTGAAAACATTTTGCTGTTTATAAGACTAGCTTTTGTTTTGTTTAGACCAAAAAAAGTTACATAAAATTATTATATATATATCTCTTAAAACCAAAAGCAATTCTGTTTTTGCTTCGACAAGTTAATGTGCATAGTTATATTCAGTTGTCTTCAAAAGTTGACATCAAGTTGGAGCTGTTACTTCTTCATGTTTTCTCTGGAGAATGCAAAGATCCTATTCATGGAGCTGTTGTGCAAGACTTTGAAGAGTGCTTATCTCCTTGGGTGGTCATGTTAATTTGGTAGCTGGAATCAGTTCTTACTGTTCCCCAGAAGGCCCAGGGTTGTGTCTCATTTTCAAAGGATAATTCATTTCTGGGCCAGGTGGATGGGGCAGTCTTCCAGCTTTCAGCACAAGGCAGCTCAAAGTGAATAGAGAAGCCTCGTGATTTTCACAAATTTTAGGCCTGAATTACTCAATGTGCAAAATTTTATCCATATTTCACTTGATTGAACATGTTGCATTTCAACAGCAAAATAGGCCCTATGCACTGAACTGCTCTCATCTTGAATATCGCTGTGCTTTTTTGCAGCCTGTGACCTGATGAACCAAGGCATCCTGGCCCTTGTCAGCTCCATTGGCTGCACGTCAGCAGGATCCCTGCAGTCGCTGGCAGACGCCATGCACATCCCTCACCTCTTCATCCAGCGCTCAACAGCAGGAACGCCAAGGAGCGGCTGTGGGCTCACCAGGAGCAACCGCAACGATGACTACACGCTCTCCGTCCGCCCCCCTGTCTATTTAAATGATGTCATCTTGAGGGTGGTCACGGAATATGCCTGGCAGAAATTCATTATTTTTTATGATAATGACTACGGTAAGTATTTATTTAGCAGGGTGATTTTTGTCAAATCCATAATTCTGTTGAAAGCAGTCACATTACATCTTTATAATCTTCCAGTAGATTATGTTTTGCTTGTGAACATTTATGGTTCTGTCAGCATTTCACAGCACCTCAGAGAAATCTATTTCAAAAATCCATCAACGTTTACAGGTTTATTTGATAATTTCTTTATTAGAGTTAGCTGATAAATGACGAATTTGCCTGGCTTTCTGTACCGCCGGTGTTCATGAAGCATAAAATCTTTTAGCAAGCTCTCTTGTTTTTTTGGGCTATGGAAATCTAAGATGACAATTCAAGAGGCAATGTCTAAGTTTTTACATTCTGTAGAATTGTTTCTTGCATGATGAATCTCTCCTGTTTGTTGGCATATATTTGATGGCCAGAAGCTGAAGCAGTGGTGAATGTAGGACAGAGACCTCAGCAAGAATGAACTGCTATTCATAAATGTCGAACTTGTAGAGAGAACTTCCGTAGAGTGAAGAACTTGAGGAGGAGGGCCTGGAGAAGACAATGTTCCTTCTTTTTTGAGTTCATTCAGTGTTCCTGAAAGGTGCTGAATTGATGGTTGTTGTATAATAAAGTGCGACACAGACGGCAGCATCACAAGACTGCTCCATTCAGCTCAGTGACTCAGCCGAGTTCAGTACAGATATTTTCTACGTCTGAGAGGAGAGCTGGACAGATTTCTGTAGGATAGGTGCCTTATCTAACTAATTTTATGATCTTTTTTTCTATGGAAAATTGCTTTGAAACCAGACCTGTTTTCTTCAGATGCATCCATTATTCATCAGTAATCATGACTGGTTTGGAGGAACATTTTAAAACTTATTTTCAAAGTTAAGTCTTCAAGTTATGGAAAAATGCTCAATTCAGCAATTCGCTGTGCATAACACCTGGTTCATTCAGGTCAGGTGTTATTGATTTTTGTTCCCTGGCTACATAATAAATTCTTAAATTAGAAAGATAGAAAATGATGAATAGGAGAGTTCCTATTTATAACAAAGCAGCACCTAAAAGCACCGGCCATAGGATGAGGAACACACACATTAAAAACCCATCCAAAAAGCTTGCAGCAAAGAGTATTTTTGTTCATTTTTTATGAGTTTGTGCATTTAAGTACCAGTGTACCTATGAAGAAGACCATAATCTTGCCAGCTAAAACATATCTTTTTGCAAGTATTTTGGGGTTTAAAAAACTCGAACAAATTTTATATTTAATATTTTTGAATAACTATATTTGTAAATACTAGTTTTAAATTATTCCAGTTTCATTATTTAATTTGAGAATGCGGTTCAGACACCGTGTCATTTTGTCCTTGATTTCTGGGTAAGAATCTCATTATGGTGTGACTTATGTAACACAGATGCCTGCCTGTGAGGAACAAGTTTCAGACCAGTAGCTCGTTCAGTGACACATCATCCCCAGACGTGACATGTGGCAGATATTAAGTCTTTCCACCAGCTTCTATGGCGTTCTGACTTCAATAGTCTACAAGTAATGCCATACTCGCCAAGACAGATCGGTAATCTGACTCTGATCAGTGATCACTATCACGTACATCAGGAAAAGCTGCAAAAAAGTCTTCATTTGTATGTACTGAGCAGTCTGTCCTCTTTCTAACCATTTGTGTGGTTTGAGTATTTTGGGTGGATGTTTTGTGAGGTTTTGGGGGGTTTGTGTTGTCCTTTTTTGTTTGTTTGTGTGTATGTGAATAGTTTGGGACTAACAACATGAAGAGAAATATTTTTTTAACTCAACCCGAGTTTTAAGTTAACCTGCAACTCTGAATAGGACTATGATCTGTACAAAGGTATAATGTTTCTTTAAATTGTGCTAAATCCTTGATTTCAACAGCCATCTTAGGGCAGCAAGCAGTTTCTGTATTCTCTTTATGCTTCCTACAGTTTCTTTATAAAATTTTGTGTTGCTGGTTTCATTGACTATCTCCTCCTCCACTTTTAATAAGGAACAAGAGAGCAGAAGTTTCAGATCACCATCTCTTACCTGAGGGCCTCTCTTGTTATTTGCATTACTATGAGAGTTGTTCACTGTCTTTCCAATCCCTCTTCTTGCTCGTACTTGAATGCCTCTCTAATTCCTCACTACCCTGTTTCAGGTGAAATCATTAAGCTTGACACAGTATTTTGCCTGTTCTTAATTCTTTTAGCCACTTTTTGATCTATGGCAGTAGTTTTCCTTGTACCCGTGATGCCATTATTTTCTTAGCAGTCCCTAGAGAGCAATCTTGCCAGGAGCTTATTATAAATCTTAACAAATTATGTTGCTTTCTCCCCTTTTCCTGTTATTTTATTGATATACTCAAAGCATTTCCAGTATGTTAGCAGTGCGCATTTTCTCTTCCCAGGTTCTGTATTTACCACAGAGGGGCTTGCACAGAGGGAAGGCTGGAGAAATTCAGGGTGTGAAAAGAGGAGGTGGAATTGCTTGATAACGGATCGTAGAGTGGAGAAGTCTGTATTGTGTATTCACTGTGCTTTGAGACGGAGGTTGGATTATGTGACCTCCTGAAGTCCCATCCAACTCTAATTATTCTATGATTCTGTGATGTTTGATAAAGTTATTCATTTACGTGGGCCTATAGATATGAAATACTTTAAAAAAAGAAATAAAATCCCAGCATCACTTTGGGTTTTATAAAAGCCCAGAAGAGATTGAGGAAGGGAACATTACCATTAGCTTCTGTGCCTGTTTAGAAAGAATTCAAGACTGGACATGCAGACGTGGGGTGGAGATCTGGAGTAAGCCAACACGTTGGTCAAAGCATCGGTGCAGACTAAGGGAGGTTGCAATTCCCTCTGGAAGATCCCAGTTCCATTCTTCAGCTTGCCTGAGAGGATCTGCCGCAGTGCGAGACTTATTTCTTTTCTCAGCTCATACAGACCTAAAATCAAATTCTGGTCGGAAGCTTTGCTCCATTTAACTGCTTGCAGTGGTTAATATTAGACATTTTAATGTAACATTTAGTATTAAACATTAAAGTAGGTGGGAGATCAACACTTGCATTAGAATTAAATTCATATTAGGAAGAGATTATTGATATGTTCTGCACAGTCCTCTGCAGAACTTAAACTTGTGCAAACAGAGCAATTTCTTGCCCCAGTGGGGTTTCTTTGTATGTGATGATCTTTCCTTCTCAAGGTGTGTCTCATAACATTAAGTGATGACTCCATAGCAGTAAATGAGAGAAGTAAAAAAACTTGAGAAGTAATGGGAATATTGATTCTGATGTGTGTTAATCCTTTTTTTTTTTTTTTCCCATTTTTGCCAACTTTTTGTAAGCTAGAAAATATGAAAATGCTGTTAGACTGGTTCCAGCAACCAGCAGAATTCCAGTACCTTCCTTTCTGAGAAATTATTTTGTATAGCGATTTAATTTAAAGATTTATAACAAAATACTTTAGTTGTATTACTGAAATTATTTACAGTAATAATTTTGTTCGGTGAAAGAAAATAGGCATTTCAAATTTAAAATAAATTTTCCTAAAGTAAAATTGTGCTCATGTCCAAAGTAAATACAGTGCTAAACCAGATCCCTTGCACCTTTAAAAGAGGCTGCAACCATTTATGTGTTAATTTATCAATACCATAGTTTTTTAATCCTATGAATTGAGTTGCTTTTGATTTTTATCTAGCAGTCTATGTTAGATTCCTTTTCATTATCGGAGAGTTAGAGAATTATTTATAATTGGAAATGTGTCTTTCTTCAGGGCTGAGAGTTAGTTCCCCAACATTATCCTTTTTTAAAACTCCCAAATTCTTTTTTTGAATGTAAGTAGACAAGTGTATTCAGTTTTAACATTTTAACACTTCTATCTAAATGCTAGAAGATTCAAGTCTGCTTAAAGGTTCTTTACTAACAAAGAAAGTTAAAGTCTCTGCAGGAAGCAGTTCTTTCATTAAGTCATAACCAGCTGGGTGTTGAAGAAGTGATGTAGAAAGGCATTTCTGAAATAATTGACATCTAAGTTTTTAACTGATGGGGTTTTTTCCAAGTAAAATTGGAAGTAGGCTGACTATTCTAATACAAAGTGAAACAAAAGACACACTGATAATAATAAAAAAAAAGTATTTTTCTGCTGTTGACTTAGTTAAGCTGAGTAACTAGTGGAAGACTTTAGTAAAGCCATAGTCTTTTGTTCGTGGTAGAGCCTTGACAGTAACAAATGTGTCTAACACATAGTAACAGTTAATTAATCAGAAGATAAGAAAAGACTTAGGTGGTGTTTGTATTTCATTTACTACAATTGTATCTTTACATTTCTTTACTATAAACTCAGATGAACTTGAGAAAATCAGAATATGAGTCGTTTTTTCCCCCATCCTTGCTCACTGCTGGGATGATCTAGATCAAAGTCCTGGTCACAATAGTGCAGTCAGTCCCCCTGTATTCAATGTGTTTTGTTCCTTGAGATAAAACAAGATAAAGGCCTGGCCAGGACATGAAATCTGATTTGGTTTAAGAAAAATTCATACGAGGATATTAAAAGTGTTCAAGGACAATTCTGCACTTCTTCAAACACCATTAAGGATAGTTTTCTTACACAGTTAAAGAGTAGGCGTCGTGAAATGCAGCAAAATTATGCAGTAGATTGATGCCATTCTCAACCTGCTATTAAAATTACTATCCACACAGTATGTACAAGCAGCCAAATCGGCTCCCACTCTTTTTATTCTTGACTGCTCAGCTCAAACCGTAGGATGACTGTGCTGCAGAGGGTAGCTGTGCATCTCATTCTCACAAGCCGGTGTAGAGACTGGGCAGTTCCTCCAAGCCTCTAAACTCTTCCTTAGGACCATCAGCACCCTTTTCAGTGAAGGCATTTTCAGACTGGACACTGCAAATGTATAACTTATACCTTTGGAAACTGCAGAGTTTACTTTTGTAAAAAGAGCCACTCACATCTGTAAACATTTTGAGCAAGCTTTGCCAAGTTATTACATCTTCAGTTTA